GGGGGGGGGGGCTCATCCGCCCGTCCTCCACTCGTCTCCCCCCTCCCCCACTCCCTATCCAGTTCGGGCACGCACGCTTTCCCTTCCCGGCGATACTCCATTTCAGAGTTTACCTTTTCCTTTACTACGCCCGCCCACCGTCCCCGCTCCTCCGGGGGGGTAACCGATGTGTGCTTCGCAGCCCCCTCCTCCACCTTACCAGCTTCCTCCTCCGGGGGGGGGGACGGTGACTGGGCCTCATCCGCCCGTCCTCCACTCGTCTCCCCCCGCCCCCACTCCCTATCCAGTTCGGGCACGCACGCTTTCCCTTCCCGGCGACACTCCACATCAGAGTTTACCTTTTCCTTTACTACGCTCGCCCACCGTCCCCGCTCCTCCGGGGGGGTAACCGATGTGTGCTGCGCAGCCCCCTCCTCTTCACGCCCCATCCCTGGTGGATGCACCCGTCGCTCCTGCGCCATAGGAGGTGTCCCTTTGTCCCCCTGTTGCTGATCAGTCCCCGCCACCTTACTCCCCATCCCCTGTACTTGGGCGTTAGTCGGGGTCGGCTGCCCGTGGGCCCTACACTCCTGTTCCACAAGGGTTGCCGGCTTGGTCACCGGTTGTTGCTCAGTTCCCTCCACCTTATCCTCCGTCTCCTGTACCTGTGCGTCAACCGGGATCAATGGCTCGTTGGAGCCTTCAACCCGTGAGCCTCGCTCTTGAACAAAAGCCATTCCCCACTTCAGCTGGTTGCACGTGGTCGTCAACCCGCGCATCCGTGGCCGCACGCCTAGAAGTTGCCGAAGCCGGCTGCATACTAGGACCACACTGCCGCTTCTCAATCCCCACCTCAACCCCAGCCCCCTTGGTAGTGTCCTCCTGACACTCCTTACGTTTCCGGTGCATATCACCAAAGAGCCACACAGGGGGGTCAATCTCCATGCGGTCATGCACCTCCACTGGGGGGTCCCTGTGCCTGCCTCCGCCCATCCCCCTGGGCGTCCGGGTATGTCGACCACGGGGTTTCGAGTCCTGTCGCCTGCGATAGCCCTCTACTACTTCGGGGTCCCCCACGCGCCAGTGTGCCGCCTGCAACTCCTTCAGCACCACCGCATCGTATCGCTGTTCGATCTCCCTTTAGGCTCGCCTTTCCTCTTCCACATTCGACTCTAAAATGGGGTCCATTCGCCGGCGTATCTCCTTCTCCTGCAGCTCTCTGGCTGATTCCGCCCTGGAAAGGCATCGGCCTTCCTGTCCCAAATGACCATGCGTAAAACATACGTCGCAAAATGGAGTTTCGCTCGTAATAAAGCGAAACTCCTGCGTAGTCGTAGGCCCAAAAGCCACTGCTACCCTCTCAACTTGGCGCATCTTCAGTGGGCCCCTAACCACATACCTCCGATATTCCCTTTCTTCTTCACAGAAGAGGGCTATAGAAACAATCTCGCCAAAAAGTTGTTGCACCATCTGTTCTTCGAGAGGGACCAAAAAGGAGGGGGGGCTGAAAACTTTGACCCATGGCCGCTCTCGTTTCTCCTCCTCCCGCTGAAACTCCATTTCCGCATGCGTTCGCCATGGGACCAGTTGTACTTCATGACCAACATCTCCCACCAATATAGACTCTACCTTCCGTTCATGTATAAGCCAGTCCCTCACCTCCGTGGAGGGCGCCATATAGATGATCGTCCGTGAGCCCTCTATATCAATCATCCCCTTCCACGGACCCCTACCCATTAACCACAGGTCTTCGCGCGTCGTCATCCATGCCTTCTTCATACGTCGTGACCAGGGCGCCACTACTTCTGAAAGCTTGAGCACTACTGCATGAGCCCGCACATACGTCATCAGTAAATACCCCAAATCAGGGGTCAGTCGCGCGACTGCCGTCCCCCCTTCGATGGAAAAGGATAGCAGATCTGAGGGTCGTAGTTGGAGCCCTAAAAGGAAAGCCCAACGGATCATCTGCATCAAACCCTCTCGGTGTGCTTCCATCTCGTTCACCCAACACCTATTTGACCAAAAGAAAGTCGCAAAAAAAGAAAACCAATTCGTAACATCCCCCACCCAAACTCGCCTCGCGTCCCCTCTTCGGAAGCCTCACCTGCACTCCAAAAGCGGAACAATAACCGCGGGCCTCCCCGTGACCGGGGTCGGCTAGTCAGCAAGACGACCCACACAAGTAGACTAGTGACCCCCGTCGTCTTCTGTTCCGCAGGCCAGGTCTCTGAGCGCGAAGAAAGCTCCACGCCCACCCGCCTGCACGACGTCCTTCCTTGCACACTCCCTCCTCACTCTCCTAACTGTGTTCTACCATACTCCCGTCTCCCCCAACCTGACGTTGCCATGGGAGTCGGGCACCGAAGCCCAGGCGCCCCACACACAAACTCCTCGCCATGACCTGACCTGCATCCACAAGAGTGACATAGCCGACGTGGCACATGTCACGTCAACGGGGGCGGTCAAACCCCAGTACAGGCGAGAAAAACGTGAAACCCTAGCTGGCGCGAGGAGGACCACGCAACGGTTCGAAAATTCAACGCCCAAAAAAAATCGTGCGGCAAATCGCCGCGCGACTAAAACTTCGCAAATTTCGTACGCCGCCGTCCCACGTCCACCCGCCACCAAGTCGCAGATACGCCCAAGGGCCCAGATGCTCAGGTCTCCGATCGTGAAAACAAAATTAGCGCACCTCGCCAAAATAAGCGCAAGTTTGCCATTCGCAGTTTCACAGTGCAAAGTGTTCACACTCAGACGTGCGTGGCTTATTCTTTGAGACAAGCATATGACTACTGGCAGGATCAACCAGGTAGCGGGTGTGACGAGCAGCCGCAAGGAGCGATGGCCGAGGCGCACGTAGGCACGTCACGCCAGACAGCCTACCAAAAGAACGTCGAACAATCGTGGAACGTGCAATCAGCTGCCGAGACGCCGCGAAGTCCGGCTGTTTGAATTGCAGGTGAACTTCCCTCCGTAGGCCATCTCCAACGGCAAGGTACCGCACAATCCAACACAGCCCGCCGCACCCGCCCAAGAGATTGGCTGCGAACAGCACCCGCGCACACCACACCCAGAGATCGCAAGTTAACCACACTACCCGAACAACGGCGCGCGCGAAGGAACCACCGACAGCTTCGGCCCACAGCCGGATGCCACCGCYTGCCCAAAACGTACCGACAGCGAAGTGCACAGCCTCATCTCTCCATCGAGAAACGCGGGTGAAGAGAGAAACGAATGCACCACGCTTCCAACACACCCGGACGGACGGAAAGCCTCCACCTGTGCACGGGGGCGCAAAAGGAACACAACCCCTCTCCCCCCTAGGCCCACACCCGCCGGTTGCCGCGGGCACCACCAACAGCACTCGACGCAAGCAAAACCCAGGAGACAGAGGACAGTAAGCCTTCGAAGCCCACAACCCGAACGCAGTGGAACCACGACGCAGCGCGATCCGTCACGGTGTGCAGCATACCGAGACCGTAGGATGGGGGACACGACGGGCACAACCACGCATTCCAAAAAGTCGGGCGGATAACGGGCCCAGCCTCGCAACGCCGTCGGAGGGTGCATCACGCATCCCACAAGTCTCCGCCCTCGCATACGGTAAGCAGCGCGTGCATGGCCGAGGCCACCTGCGCCACCGCTCAATGGCGCCGCTCGGATGGCGAAGAGCGCAGAGCGTCCTCACCAAGTCGTGACACCCCCTCGACACAAACGGAACGCGCCGTTGTGAGTGCGGACACGAAGACGTTACCACAACAGAGCCGCAACAGCTCTCCCTGTAACCTACGGGACGATGGTGCCGAAGCTGAGACCCGGCGACGGGCACCTCCGCCTCCACACCCTGCAAACGACCGCCAACCGGACCGCTGTCGGCGATCAGGCACAAATCATCGC